GCCAGTGGGCAGTGTGGAGCTGCGCCCGGCGGACCCCCCCCAGTACCAGGAGGTGCCCTTGGATGAGGCAGTGACTCTGCGGGTGCCCGACGCGCCCCTGCGGCCTGGCCAGCTCTTCAGTGCCACCCTCCTGCTTCGCCACAACTTCACGGCCAGTGTCCTGACCCTGCGGTGAGTGCCGGCCCCCAGGGTGTGGCCGGAGGCGGGAACCTCTGCAGGAAGCCTGGGCAGGTGCCCCTCCTTGGGGTCCTCACTGGGATCTTTGACTGTAAAGAACGAGTCCAGCCACCCCTCCAGGCCGAGCACCGTGATTGCCCGGCAGCAGGCAGACCCAGCCGTGGGCACAGCCCTGAACTTGAAGTCCGAAGTAGGACCCTCTCCTCTCCTGGGTCCTGGGTCTAGTGGGCTGACTCACGGGGCCGCTGTGAGGCTCCAGGGAGGGGAAACGGGAAAGGGCTTGGAAACTGGCAGGTGCAGTGCCTGGGGGTAGCGAATGCTCTGACGCCTCAGGAGGGGATTTGCCCCCACCTCACTCACTGGCACGGTCTCCCGCTTGCCGCCCTCACCACGGATCCCTCCCCTTTGCACTGAGCCCACGAGCCTCCACAGAAAGGACCTCCTCTCTGTTCCTTCCTGCAGGAAGTTCCCTAAAGCACCCCCACCCCAGCCCATGACAAGACCTTGCAGAGCGTCCCGGGCCTCTCCCATCTGGGACTTGTGTGTGCCCCTCCCCCGTGGCTCTCAGTGCCTGTCACAGCCCCGTCTCCCGTCCTGTGCTCATTAGATCTTCCCTGGACTTTAAACTACTCCCAGCCCCGTCTCTCCACTCTGGAGAGGGGAGCCAGCCCAGGGCCCTGCTGGCACCACGGGCCCCCAGCGCTAGGGAAGGGGGCAGGATGGGCATGAGCTGGAGCGCAAGCTCTGCTGAAGGGGCACAGTGCGGGGGGGCTGGGGCGGGGGGTGAGGAAGGGACCTTCATCCTGCCGGGCAGAGCTTCCTAAAGGACTGGCATCTGAGTTGCTGGAGGCTGGGAGAACCAGCAGAGGCAGGAAGGAAGGGCAGGCGGGTGGGAGGCCCAGCCTGAGCCCGGCGGAGAGGCACGGCTGGCGTTGCGCATGTGGGCAGGAACGCTGGGTGCAGCGGAAGCAGAGTGATGGAGAGAGGTCACGGCTGGAGATAAAACTGGACCCGACCCTGGGAGGCCTTGGATGCCAGGCTTGGACGTGACCTGTGGCCACTGGGGGTCATAAGTGGCCCTGGGGTGGGGAGAGCGACATGGCATGACCTGCGCTGAGGCCACGTCCTTCTGGCTTGGAGACGGTGAGGAGGGTAGTCAGACCTGAACTCGGGGACGTCTTCAGCCCCGTGTCTTCCCGCCGGATCCCGTCCACAGCTTAGCACCCACCGGTCTAACTGCGCCTGTGTCCCCCTCAGCATCAAGGTGAAGAAGGGGCTGCATGTGACGGCCGCCCGCCCAGCCCAGCCCACCCTCTGGACCTCCAAGCTGGACCGCTTCAAGGGCTCCAAGCACCACACCACCCTCATCACCTGCCACCGCGCTGGGCCCACAGGACCCGACGCCAGGTGGGTAGTTGGCTCCCGCGGTGCAGGCAGAGGAGGGGGGGCTGCGGGCTGATGACGGGCTCCAGGGCAGAGGCTGCGCTCTGCATCGTCTCCCCATGTGAGCAGGCGAAGGAACAGACTCCTTGAAGGAAGCAGTGTACGCAGATAGAGCATCCATTTATTCATCCATTCATTCACTCATTCATTCATCCATCCACCCACTCATTCATTCATTCATTCATTCATCCATCCATCCATTCAGCTACTATTTATCCATCCCCAGTCACATGCCCGGTACAGTGAGTATCCCTGAGTCTTATTCCAGGTGATGCCCAGCCCCCCGTCACAGCCCTCACAGCCACCACCCCACCTCCCCGCAGCACCAGATGGGTCCCTTTTGGGGGTTGTTACTATTCCAAAGCCCAGCCGCACTTCTTTTTTTTTTTTTAAATATATTTTATTGATTTTTTACAGAGAGGA